AAAAAAAAAAATTCTAACCCCGTATGCAGCGAATGCATTCATTAATCAAGATGTAGGACTCATTAGACGAATCGTGATATAATATATATATAATATAATATATAATATATAATGCAACTGATACTGTAGGCCTCAGCCCGTGCTCATGTGATCCTGGAGCACAATCCGCGCTGTTCACCGATGATACGAGAGGAGTGGAAAACCCAAGGACACAACTTTCGGCCAATATATCAATACGATCTATCTTTGCATGTTTCTACGATTTATAGAGCCTTAGGCGCCGCTCTGTTGTTTTTGCATGCCGCCACCAAATTGCTCCAGCAGCTGCAATCACGGAAAAGAAACGACGAACGCGGAGAGTCAATCTCTTCCAAATTGCTTGCAATTAGAATGTACACCACCTAGAGCTATCGGCTCCACCGCAAGACTCCGACACGGTTCGTGAAGGCCCACCTTAGTCTCGCTTGGCACAAATATTTTCATCGTCCAACCTAACATCTGCTCCGACATTCCAAAAGTGAGAAAGCGGCGAAGATCCGAACCTACGAACACGCATATATGTAGTACCCACACCGCTGGGTGAGGCCACGAAATTCCAACATCTCCCCCTGCCACGCAAAAACAGACGATAGATGAGGGCGAAGAAAAGCCGACACGCCGCCCGCACAGTACAAGGCCAAACTTCCCGACAGTCGGGATTTCCATCCATCAATGGACCGCCCGCAGCTGGAGGAGATCATTCATCTAGGCAGATTTCGATATTGCACATACAGAAGGTGTTCAAGGCGCTTCCGGTGCCGTCGGCACCAGGAAGTGTATCCTCCCCCCACCACCCAGTCCAAATGCGGTTGCCGGCCGCGATGTTGCCTGGGATATCTTCCATGAAGTAGGCCTTCGGCAGTTCGCTGCAATAGCAACAACGGCAGGAAGCCGGGCACGCGCAACCGCAGGAGAGCGATGGACGGGCAAGGCTTTTTTATGTCATGTTTACCGGTTGGTGCCCTCGGACGGACGAACTATCTTCCGACGTACGTCAAATGTGCTCCTCTGGGGTCTGAAAATTTTCGCCGGAACTCATTCTCAAGCGTGCCTGCCTCGAAAGTCATAGTTGTTCTACGTCTGAATAAGTGTGGAAGCAGTTCCGAACCCCAGCCGGTACACAATTTAGCTGTGAATTCTGAACAGGACGTAGTCCGTTAGGAGAAAAAGAGCGATTGCATGTGAGCGATTGCATTCGATAATCGAGGGCGTGGTGCGTCATAAATCGAAGCTGCAAATAGTAGCATGACAACGCAAACGTGAAACACGCTCAAGAAATTCGTCAGGTATCATGCGAAAAACGCTCACTCGATTATGTGGTTGTCCCTGTCTCCACACGACAAGCAACACTCCATAGTGTCTGTCAATAGTCTTCGATATCGTGGTTGGTTCTTGCAAAACGGCTTCCGAGTGAAACAAGCGGGGGGTTGGCAGATTGTCCTGTTCTCACTGTTTCGTCAGCATACTTCCGGGGCTTGAATTCGGGTGTGGGCTGAGGTGTCAACGAGGCGTTCAGCTAAAAAAAACAAGCCAACTCCACTTTCCAGAACGTGGTTTTTCCATACGGCTTCCCTCCTCAAAATAAACTAGAGTCACCGACGAAAGGCCTCACGTACATGCCAGCTAGTTTGGCGTTACTTTCTTTTCGGCCGTTTCCTTCGACTGAGCTCACTTCCTTTCCGGACATCAAAATCGTACCCCCGAAAACGCTTGGCTGCCCACTGCTACGGTTTGCCGAATGTATCCCATGGCCTCGAAAATATTGGAAAGGTTGATCCAATCTTAAGGGCTGCCGCGAGATCCATGGTGATGCACAACTGAAATTCTAGATCCAGGTCGAGAAAAACACAAGCGTCAAGTCCTGTGTACTGAAACGTAAAGTTACCTCTGGACAGCTCAACATTGACGTGGCCTGAAGATCTCTACTGCCACGAGAGAATACCAAGTTGCTGCGAATTGGATCGAAACGTACGGACTTGCGCCGTTCAGCAGACTTCCGGGAGAAGGATATGCAGGATTTTCGCCAGTACAGGGCAACAACTGGGAATCCATCATGACCGACGGTCTTTCACTGTTTGGTAACAGATCCAAAGGACCGGGGAGCCAGCCGGGCTACCCAAGGCTGAACATTTCTGCCGTAAAAACAGAGCGGCTACAAGCCGGACACAGATTTCTCGAACCGTAGCCTGCTGTTCACCTTCGGAAGACGAGCAGGACGTTGTCGTCCGTGATAAGCCACGAGTTGGGGTCGGATGGTGGCCCCAAGTTCGATACAGTCCACCAATCTTCTTGGGCAATGCCTGTTAAAAGTACCAATCAAGAGTAAACGGTGGAGAAGGTGGAGAGGGAACAGATAAGGCACAACGCGCCGGAAGAGCGGTTCCGCGTAACACGTCCTGCTTACAAAGCAAGAAATGAGGACGGATCCTAACTCCTGTACTCAAAACAGGATGTCATATGCATACTCTACAGCCGATGCGGTTCACTCACTTCTGGTGCATTCCCACAGAAAATGACGAGGGGTATGGAACTTTTCGATTTCCCTGTTTCTCACCAACTTCGATAGCGGTAGGATCAAAAATAGGCTTTCTGCAGTTTGCACTTGGTGCACGTTCTCTTCTCTTTTCTTAGTAGCTTCAATGCCGTGAAGGCATTCCTCCAAGGCGCTCTGACTCGTATCCCTGAGGCGTTCAACGCTCCGGTTATGCGCATGAAACTACTACACAATAGCTTCTTGGTTTTACAACAGTCAAACGCACGTATGGCACTTTCAAGCAGCGTTAGTGCGTGGGGTGACGACACCCGTGACTTTGGCCCCAAAACATTCTTCAGCGGAAACTCAATTCAAAAGCGTAAGCGTTGTGGTAACCCGAAGGCACCAGCGCGCGGGCGCTCTCTCTCCGAACAGATAGCTACCCGTGGGCCAAAGGGCATGTGTCTACTTGGGCGGCAAGAGGAAAAAGGTGTTTTTATCAGTGGCGATGAAAACATTGATACACACTGGCAAAGGCTCCCGCTCGAAAGAAATCATTTGGAAGAGGCGCTACGGGTAGTCGCCGGGACGGAGTAGAGCAGACGGTTGTGCAAGTCCCCACCGCCGAAAAGCTATCTATCATGACACGGCCGGAACCCTAGCAGAGCAAAACATGTATCTCCCCTGCACAAGGCTGATCGTTAACCAGCAAAGGCTTAGGGTAGAGTCCTCCGATGTGCAGTCTAGATACCACGCACCAGTCGTTCCTCCGCAGCAATACTCCGGCGTCGTGTCCAAAATACTGTGCCAGCGATGGTACGCTCTCCGTGTTTTACGACTAACGCAGGACAAAATCCTTTATCCTTGCCTACTTTTGACCATGCGGCACTCAAACAGCACAGGGAGCCCACATACAGCTCCCGACGAGGCCAGGCCGGTGATCGATACATATCGGAGGAGAATGAATCACTAGGCGAGAGCCTGTATCTTACCGTAAGCGCAAAACCCGCCCCACGCCGGAATGTAGTCCAACGGGGATGTCTGTGGAAAATCAGAGTCAAACGAGCGACATCGGGGGGGGGGGGGGGGGGGGGGGG